CATGCATTGCTGCCAAGAATCCCGAATTTGACGCAAGTAATGACATGTTAATTACAGAGAATGACAAGAGGTCATTTAAAAAGCCACATAAGCGCCTAATTTATAACGAATTTAAATTGTAATGAACAGGCAGATGTAGTTATATTTTGTGCGAACGGCGAAGGTGCAAGTTATATCCTTTGAACGTTAGCTGGCTCGAAGCTTGCTTGAACCTCCCATTCTCGTTTTTGAAATTGTTGTTCGTAGCAGTAGCTAATTCGCGGCTACATTCTCGTGTCATATGTGAGTGTTACAGTTGGCGTTACAGTTGGCGTTACAGTAAATGAGAAAACTCACGTGCGTAAGATCAAGGACATGACTTGCTTTAAAGGTGTTACGTCACGGTTTGCGCATCTTGAAAAAATTAGCCCAGTTTTTCAAGTTCGTCATTTGCAATCCTTGTTAATCTTTGCCATCCTTAAGGATCCTCATTCCGTTTTGATTTGTTCTTGCCTCTTAAGTGTTTTTCTACCCTAGAAGACGATCATTTCAAGGTTTTTTTCTATTTAAATGCAACTCTTTACGACCCTAAAAATGACTCTAAATATTGTGACGTAACTCCTAAAATGTTTTTTTTTTCCGGTTACGTTGTCGTTCAGACGATCGTTGTTATGTCTTTAAGTGTGAAAACGTTTCCTACAATTTTTTTGTAAAACAGGTATATTTCTTTGAAATACCAGTGGTTTGTTTCGTTTTATAGACCCTTTTCAGAAATGGCTGCCAATTATAAATTCTTTTGTAAGTATTAAAATTAGCCTGACTAACCTCGTTTTTGAGTTGATAATTCAAAAGAAATTTTACTCCCAAACGAGTTTAGTGAGGCTAATTTAAATGCACATAAAAGAATTTTAAATTGGCAGCCATTTATGAAAAGGGTCTATTTCAGTGAGAAATATCGTGTTCCAAACTCACATCTTGTAAAAGTATAGACTTATCCCGAAAACGGAAATTGTTTGACATCATCAGGTGTTTAATTTGTCTAGTGTGTTTTTAGTTTTTTGTGTTTCGATTTATACGTTCGTCTTATTATTACCAAGCTGACTTTTTTATGACAGTTTACCTTTGATATTATATTGCAGATAACTTAAAGGAATATCTCATCCGAATGAAATAAAACGTTCTGCTCACAGTAGTCACTCTAGCGTAATTTGCTCAGCAAAATTTTGAATGGTGAATTTGATTTTTTTCATCTTTTAATATTTTTTCCCGTGATCCGATCCGTGGTCCGGTCCGGTCCGGTCCGATCCCGATTTTGTCGACGCCGTAAACCAGACTGCAATATTGACCTATTTCTGCATCATGCATTCCTTGTCATTACCTTCAGTCTTGAGAAGTGTTTATCCGCTTTGTATCA